CTGACCCTGAAAAACCACACAGAGTACTCTTTGTCTTTCTGCCTGCCTCTCTCTCTCTCTGAGAAGAGAGAAGAGAGAGAGAGAGGCAGGTTGCCTGAGAAGAGGCAACCGCAACAGGCAACACAGCCTCTGGAGGAGGGGCGACATCTGCAGGAGACACTTCATGCAACACACAGGGTACGGCAGCAGCCACCACCGTGGAATGCAACGGAACCTCACCACTGTCACTGGAAAATCCACCATCGTTGAATTTTCCCACATCAGCCCAATCAGATCTCCGGGAATGCTTGGGCTCCGGCCTCAGAAGAGGCAACCCCACAGCGATCCCAGCACCCAGCACATCCTGGGCACACGGCAACAGGCAACACAGCCTCTGGAGGAGGGGCGACATCTGCAGGAGACACTTCATGCAACACACAGGGTACGGCAGCAGCCAAAGCGGCGTCCACACCCATCGAATCCTCCTCCACAGGGAGCGGCGGGAAATCCTCCTCACGGAAGAGGTTGACGGGCGCAACGGCAGGTTCAGAGCACCCAGCAGCCTGATGACCCAAGAGGCCACAACAGTAACACGTACGGGGCTGGCGAGCATGAAACACTCGAACAGAACACCCCAGAAGCCTCACTTGAGAAGGAATGTCCGCCCGCAACCTCATTCGTAGGGTGCGAATATTTGACCGCACACCCTTTAGCGGACCCGAGGAGAGCAGGTGCAACTGCACACTGACGACCGCCCCAAACTGGCCGAAATAACGCCTCAGCAGTCCCTCCGGAAATTCCAGGGGCGCCCCATGCACGCTTACATACGTGATGGCATCACTGCGATCGGAGACAGTCACAGTGCCCGCACCTTCGGGCAGGGGCAAGGTCCGCCCCTCGTACCGACGTAAGAACGCCCTATATACCTTCTCTGTCGTTAGTTTAACAACCACTCTATGGGCAGACACCAGCTCAACACCATAAACATCCCCCACAGGAACCCGCAGCATGTCACACAGCACCAAACCCACCTCGGGATATCCTGCCCGAGCAGAAAACTCGAGGCCTATAGACTGGGCATGCAAAACAGGGGGGAGGGGGTCCCCCCATGGCGCCGACACGCCAAACCGCACCCACCCCCTCGCAACTAGGTAGCAACTGGCAGGTCAAACGAGCAGGTCTTGACCCCCTGGGGGCCAACGAGCGACCATGCTATGCGTATTAGTGGCTTTAGGTATGGTATGTACTAGCTGTATATATAACTCCAACATTATGTTTGTAAATCAACTATGTATGTACTTTTCCTGAATAAAAAATTATTTATTTATTTATTTATTTATTTATATTTTTAACTATTTTTGCAAATATTAATGGTTGCAAACTACTTTTAACTTGAAAAAACGTTTAGTGTGTTGATGTTGACTGGGAGTTGCGTGGTGACCACCAGCCAGGTCGGACATTCCTGACGTCTCTCCGCTCCTGGCTCGTGTTTACGTTGGCTGATTGCTGGTTTGCCCTGCTGGTGGTGGTTTGCCACTGACAGGGTGACTTTGGCTTAGCCATGGGGACTTCTCACCCTCCAATAAGAGGACATTGTCGGCTGGTCTGGCATTTTACGGTGCCGATGGACCATCCTTTGGTTGGTGTCGCCCTGGTGGACGTGCTACATGTGCAGCTGTCGGACCTAGTGGGCGTCCCGCTGCTTCAGGACAACCGTGCTGTGGTCAAGTTCCACCTCCAGGCTGCCTTTCAGGCGTTTCTCGAGCGGTGTGAGGGGCGTGTTTAACCTCTCCCTGATACTGCTGGTTCTGTTAAGGTGGTGTATCTTAGTGTCACCTTGACGTCGGTGGCGGTGCATAGTGCCCCCTTCGAATTTCAGGACGAATTTTTAACCTCCTGTTTTGAACGATTTGGGACAGTGTTAAGTATTCGTCGGAACAAGGTTTCCTTGCCGGGCACTGTACTGGTATGCTTGACGGCTCCCGCACCCTGACGAAGTCGCTGAAGTGTAGGGTACCGTCGTCGATGTCCGTGTTGGGTTACACGCTCCGCTGCCTGTATTGGGGGCAACCGCACACCTGTTATAAGAGTGGTTACAAGGGTCATCTGGCTGCAGCGTGCGACGTGGGAGCGACTGATAGGGTGCATGTTTTTCGTGAGGAGGTTTTCTGCCCCTGTTGCGTTCAGACGGTTCTGAGGACGGAATGGTTACTGTGCCTGAGGCGCCTGATTGCCTGTCTGCTGCTCCGCCTATTGAGGCGGGTTCTACGGCCTGTAAAACACGTCTGGTAACTGCTGTGGCCCCTGGTGTTGTTGAGCCGGTGTGTGTGTGTGTCGGGCCGTTGCCTGCATTGCGTGTAGTGCGGGATGTCCCAATGGAGGTCCATGTCCTGCCCCTGCCTGTGGATGTGATACCGGCTCCCGGGGATGTGGGTTCTGCTGTTTTTGGAGGGGGGCTTCGGCAGCAGGAGGTGCCTGCCGTGCCTGTTTGTTTTGGTGACTGTAGTTCTGCTACTTCCATCCCTTTGCAGAAGCATGCGCGTTGGTGTTCAGAGGCTGTTTCCCTGCATGATGTGGGCAGTGCGGGCGATGTGGCCTCTGTGGACTCCTCGGACAGTGCGGGTGTGGCCTGTATGAATGTGAATATGGTGACCGTGCCTGCGGTGGGGCCTGGTGGGAGTGATGTGGTGCAGCTTGTCTCGAAGCGTTCGCAGCGGGCTCAGAGTGTGTCTCCCCTTCGTGGTGTGCCTTGGGAGATGGTGGGGGAGTATGGTGCTCTGGCGTCCCCCGCCGTGGATGATGGTGCTGTGAGGGGCTTCAAGTTGCTACCTGTGCCTCCCCCTCCCCCCCTGCATCTCCTGCTATTGGTTCTCCGCAGTAGGGGGTTGCCCCTGATGATTGGGACCTCGTCGTGGTGTTGCTGAGAGATGTGCGCCGGGGAGCCGCGGCTCCTGTGCCCAGTGGCGGGGTCGATGCCGCTCCTGCATCCCCTGCAGGTCCCCCTCCTTCGTTGCCCGGTCTGGGGGAAGCCTAGTTCCGGCTGCCTGGGTTGTGACCTGTGAGGGTCAGGTGTTGGGCCCTTATCGGGATGCCCGGGTGCTTCCGATCCTGTGGTGCTCATCTACTGTCTGACTGTCGCGGGTGAAGGAGTTTGTTTATAGGGTGCCGGATAAGATGTCTCAGCAGAGGGCACCGCCTGGTGGCTGGGTGTCCCCTGACACTTGGGTGATTTGGGAAGCATACTGCTTGCGCTTTCCGATATACAAGTTCCCGGAGAAATATTAGTGGACGTCTTGTGCACAACGGTATGCCGTGCATGGATCAGCTGCCGCCATGATCTTGACATCCCGCTCTACAGTGCGGCGAGTCTCCCTCTAACGTCCACCTCTGTTTTTGCTGCCACTCCTCTATCTACGGCCCGATGCAACTAACACTTTTGACTTTCTTCTCCTCCCCAACGTCAACACGTCTCCCAACATCTGTCCTGGTCCAGTCATCGGGAGGGGTAAACCATTCATGCATACTGCACCTACTCTGAAGAAGAAGATGTTGACTGAGGAGTGAGGACACTGGTGATAGTGTTGCGCGACGTCACGTCTGTTGACTAGACAGCCAAATGCCATCACGTAAAATTATCATACGTTACAGCGTTAAACATTAAAGGTCAATAAACTCTTAAGCACCAAATTAGAACCATCTCCCCATTGTCACTAATCTACATGTATTAATTATTATTAACTGCTCTTCACAAATTTTCCAGTCGATAGCAGTGTGAATTATATAAACCAGTGTTTTGGTAATGAGATTCGTCGTTATGAAGCGATTGTTCTCTCATAACTAACACTATGTTACAACAACAACAAACGCGGCGTTGTCATTATACACGTCCACTAACTTGAGAGGTAAAAAAATACTTTTCCTCGACTGTACCTGTGACTAGTGCTATAATCTTGTCTAGTATCACACTGTACCTGTAACTAGTGCTATAATCTTGTCAAGTATCACACTGTACCTGTAACTAGTATTATAATCATGTTATCACACTCTACCTATAACTAGTACTACAATCATCTTTAGTATTACACTGTACCTGTAACTAGTGCTATAATCATGTTTAGTACCTCACTCTACCTGTAACTAGTGCTATAATCATGTTTAGTATAACACTGTACCTATAGTAGTAGGCATCCATCAGTCTCAGGAGACTATGGTTTTGCGCTCTGGTTGTTGGTGTGGAGTGACCTCACCAGGGCGCAAAGCCAGGGTAAGTTGATATGGAGGAGAAGCTGTTACCCAGGCAGCAGGTCCCCCCTCTCCACGGCGCCGAAAGTCTCCAATGGAAAGGCAAACGCCAATACGATTGGTTCTAGGGCCGTCGCAAGAACTGTGAGTTCCGGGGATGACCTCGAAGTTGGTGAAAAAAGGCACAGGGACTCCAAACCCGGAGACCGCCGTGGACATGGCCGGAGAAGAACCACCCCAGCAAGGGCAAGAACAACCCCAGCCTCCTGAAAGTCGTGCGGCCTGGGCCGCACGACCCTAGGGAGGTGGACGTCCCAGCCCCGTACCTACGGGTTCCAGACAGAGATCGTCACAGCCCCCTTTCACCCGAGGCCGGCCTCCTTCACGACCAAGCAGAAGGAAGAGTGATAATTAACATATACAATAATTATTATTATTATATTATAATAATTAATATAATAATACTGTACCTGTAACTAGTGTTATAGTCAAGTATAACACTGTACCTGTACCTAGTCCTATAACAATGTTTAGTATTACACTGTTCCTGTAACTAGTGTTATAATCATGTTTAGTATCACACTGTACCTGTAACTAGTGTTAGAATCATGTTTATTATTATCACACTGTACCTGTAACTAGTGTTATAATCATGTGTAGTATCACACTGTACCTATAACTAGAGCTTCTAAATCAGAAAACGTACAATTATTTATTTACTGAGCGCAGACTGTGCCAAATATCACAGTGCACAAGTAATTAGTATTCTTGTGTTACAGAGAGGTGGATTCTTCGTGGAGGTTGGCGCCGTGGATGGAGAGTACCTCAGCAACTCCTTGTATTTCGAGAGAAACCTCAACTGGACGGGACTTCTCATTGAGGCTTTCCCGCAAACTTATCACGAACTCCTACAGAAACACAGAAAAGCATATACCATAAACACTGCACTAGCCATGGGCAAAGTCTCTGCAGAAATTCAGTTTTCGTAAGTAGCTTAAATATGTCTTAAAGACCACATCCATGACTCGTCCTATTACAAGATATTAGTGAGGAAGTCTAACAGCTACTGACAATTCGATTCAAACCAGAATCTTTGTAAAAAGTTTACAGTAGTGCAGCCAAGCTAAGTATGAGACTTGAATCCTTTTAATGAGTTATGTGTGCTTTTCCGTGATGCAATGTGGCCCCATCTTCCAGCCTTCCAGCCGGAGGTGGTACCCTCTTTCCCCTTTTCTATTAAAAACTGTATTTATATAAATATATATATATATATATATATATATATATATATATATATATATATATATATATATATATATATATTTCGTATATTAAATACATCTTAGCCAGAAGGTCCTCTGGCCTACTATGGGGATTTGCATAATATATATATATGAATTATATATTTTCTCTATTTTTTTCTTACGAAGGGAGTACCACCTCATAGCTGAGAAGAAGGGGAGTTAAATAGCCGTAGGAGGAAACCACGCATAACGCAACTTATCTTTATAGGTTAGGTTAGGGTAGCCGAAAAAGTTATTAGGTTTAGATCCCCTAGTCGAATACAGTTTTCTGTGTGCTTTTCTTATTAGGCAAATCGGGCCTTGCATATATAGATATAGGTATGACATATATATATATATATATATATATATATATATATATATATATATATATATATATATATATATATATATATATATATATATATATATATATATATATATATATATATATATATATGCAAACAAGCCTGAATGGTCCCCAGGACTATATGCAACTGAAAACTCACACCCCAGAAGTGACTCGAACCCATACTGCCAGGAGCACAATGCACACAATTTAAACTTTGTTAATCTTTCTTCATATGAAAGATTTCTAATTTGGGGAATTAACTTAGTCATCCTATGCTGGACACGTTCAAGTGAATTTATATCCATTCTATAGTACGGCAACCAAAACTGAACTGCATAATCTAAATGGGGCCTAACCAGAGCAAGATATAGCTGAAGAACCACACCAGGTGTCTTGTTACTAACGCTTCGATTAATAAATCCCAGTGTCCTATTTGCTTTATTACGAACATTCATGCATTGATCCTTTTGTTTTAAATTCTTGCTAATCATAACTCCCAGATCCCTTTCGCAATCCGACTTCGCAATCTCAACACCATCTAGCTCATATCTTGTAACTCTATCATCATTACCTAGAATCAGAACTTTACATTTATCAGCATTAAACTGCATCTGCCAGTCTTTTGACCATTTCAAAACCCTATTTAGATCAACTTGAAGTGATAGTGAGTCTTCTTCCGTGTTAATTTTCCATGCCACAATAACACACCACTGCATTATGCCACTACACCATGCCATTACACCATGCCACCATACCATGCCATTACACTATGCCACTTCACCACGCTACTTCACCATGCCACTATACCATGCTACTATACCACGCAACTATACCAGGCCACCACATCATGCCACTACACCACGCAACTACACCACACCACTAAACCACGCCACTATACCACGCTACTATACCATGCTACCACGCAACTATACCACGCCATTATACCAGGTACTACATCACGCCACAACACATTGCAACTACACCACGCCACTACACCACACCACTACACCACTACACCACGCTATTATACCATGCTACTATACCTCACCACTATACCACGCCACTACACCACACCCCTACACCATGCCTCTATACCATGCCACTACACCACACCACTAACCCACGCCATCACGCCATGCCACTACTCCACTCCACTGTACCACGCCATTATACAACGCCACTGTACCATGCCACTACACCATGCCACTACCACGCCCGCTACACCATGTCACTACACCACACTACTACACCATGCCACTATACCCCACCAGTACACCATGCCACTGCACCACGCAACTATTCCAAGCTACTACACCACTCCACTATACCCAGCCAATGACACTATACTATGTCACTATACCATGCCACTATACCACACCACTACCACGCCACTATACCACACCACTAAACCATGCCACTATACCATGCCACTATACCACGCCACTAAACCATGCTACTACACCACACCACTATACCAGGATACTATACCACGCCAATACACCAAGCAACTACACCATGCCACTACACCACGCTACTACACCATGCCACTATATTATGCCACTACACTTCGCCACTACAACACGCTACTCTATGCCACTACACCACGCCACTACACAACGCCACTACACCACACAACTACACCAAGCCTCTATTCCACGCCACTACACCAAGCCTCTATTCCACGCCACTACACCACGCAACTACTCCACGCCACACCACACCACACCACTGTACCATGCTACTATACCACACCACGCTTCTACACCACACCAATATACCACGCTAATACACCACGTCACTACACCACACCACTACACCATGCCACTACACCACACTACTACACCACGCCAATATACCACGCCACTATACCATGCCACTACACCACGCTACTACACCACGCTACAACACCACGCCACTACACGCCTCTACACCACACCACTACACCTCGCCACTAAACGCTACACTACGCCACTATACCATTCCACTACACCACGCCACTACATGCCACTACACCACGCAACTACACCAAGCCACTATACCACGGCACTGCACCACGCCACTATAACATATCTTGATGTTACCTTGAGATGATTTCGGGGCTTTAGTGTCCCCGCAACCCAGTCCTCAACCAGGCCTCCACCCCCAGGAAGCAGCCCGTGACAGCTGACTAACACCCTGGTACCTATTTTACTGCTAGGTAACAGGGGCATACGGTGAAAGAAACTATGCCCCATTGTTTCTCGCCAGTGCCCGGGATCGAACATGGGACCACAGGATCACAAGTCCTGCGTGCTGTTCGCTCGGCCGACCGACGACCATGCCACTACACCCTTCCTCTGCACCATGCCACTATACCACACCACTATACCATGCCATTATACCATGCTACTATACAATACCACTACACCACACCACTATACCACACCACTAAACCACGCCACTACACCATGCTACTACACCATGCTACTATACATCGCCACTACACCATGCCACTTTATAACACAAATAATCCACGTCACAACATGCCACAACACCACGCTACTACACCATGCCACTATACCATGCCACTACACCATGCCACTACACCATGCCACTACACCATGCCACTACACTATACTACTACACCATGCCACTATACCATGCCACTACACCACACCACTACACCACGCCACTGCACCACACCACTACACCACGCCACTTTACCACTCCACTATACCACGCCACTACACACCACTATTCCACGCCACTATACCACACCACTACATGCCACTATACCACGCCACTATACCATGCTACTGCACCACGCCACTACACCACGCCACTAAACCACGCCACAAAACCACTCCACTGCAAATTGCCACTGAACTACACTACTACACCACACCACTGCACCACGCCACTAAACACCACTGCACCACGTCACTATACCACGCCACTACACCACACTACTACATGCCACTACACCATGCCACTATACTATGCCACTACATTATGCCACTACACCACACCACTACACCAGACCACTATACCATACTACTACTCCAATCCACTACACCAAGTCACAATAACACACCACTGCATTATGCCACTACACCACGCCACTACTCCATGCCACTACACCATGCCACTATACCATGCCATTACACTATGCCACTACACCATGCCACTATACCATGCCACTACACCATGCCACTACACCACGCTTCTTCACCATGCCACTATACCATGCTACTTTACCACGCAACTATACAAGGCCACCACATCATGCCACTACACCATGCAACTACACCACACCACTAAACCATGCCACTATACCACGCTACTATACCATGCTACCACGCAACTATACCACACCACTATACCAGGTACTACATCATGCCACTACACCACGCAACTACACCACGCCACTACACCATGGCACTACACCACGCTACTATACCACGCCCACTATACCACGCCACTACACCATGCCCCTACACCATGCCTCTATACCACGCCACTACACCACGCCACTAACCCACGCCACCACACCACGCCACTACTCCACTCCACTGTTCCACGCCAATATACCATGCCGCTGTACGATGCCGCTACACCATGCCACTACCACGCCACTACACCATGCCACTTACCACACTATTAAACCACGCCACTATACCCCACCAGAACACCACACCACTGCACCACGCAACTATTCTAAGCTACTACACCACGCAACTATTCCAAGCTACTGCACCACGCCACTACACCATGACACTATACCATGTCACTATACCATGCCACTATACCACACCACTACAATACCACTATACCACGCCACTATACGATAGCCACTATACCATGCCACTAAACCACGCTACTACAGCACACAACTATACCATGATACTATACCACACCACTACACCTCGCCACTACAACACGCTACAATATGCCACTACACCATGCCACTATACAACACCACTACATCATGCCACTACACCACGCAACTACACCAAGCCTCTATTCCATGCCACTACACCATGCAACTACACCACACCACACCACTGTACCACACTACTATACCACACCACTACACCACGCTTCTACACCACACCAATATACCACGCTAATACACCACGTCACTACACCACACCACTACACCATGCCACTACACCACACTACTACACCACGCCAATATGCCACGCCACTATACCATGCCACTACACCACGCCACTTCACCACGCCACTACACCACACCACTGCACCTCGCCACTACACGCTACACTATGCCACTATACCATGCCACTACACGCCACTACACCATGCCACTTCACCACGCTACTATTTAACGCCACTATACCACTCCACTATACGCCACTATTCCATGCCACTATACCACGCCTCAACATGCCACTATACTTTCGACTATATCACACTACTATACCACGCTACTACATCACGCCACCACACCAAACCACTACACCACACCAAACCACTACACCACACAATACACCACACCAATTCATCATGTGACTACACCATGCCACTGCACCACACCACTACACCACGCTACTGCACCACGCCTCTACACCATGCCACTACACCATGCTACTA